TTTTTTTTTTTTTTTTTTTTTTTTACCAGTATTAAGCATTTAAGATCTGAGGAGGAAAAAATGGTGGTTTTGAAATAACCATATAAAACTGACAGCCTGGCTACATATCAATGCATAGTTCATTAGTGATGATATACAACTGCAAAGGTGAGTAGCATGGGTAACATTGCGCATTTGTGAAGTCACCATATTTTTGGCATGGCTGAGCCATGCATTTCACAAAATTATTCTACACAATATTACATCAGTGATCTTTTATTAGTCCAGGCACTAAACTCATCTGCCTGCAGCCCAGAGCTGTCATCCACTGAATACATTAACAACATTAAGAAATAATCACTTACAACAAAAACAGGGCCTGAATAGTTGAGCAGCTGACATCTTATAACAAGCAAGAAAACTCCATTGACCTTAGCACACCGGACTGACTCCACACACTTTTATCTCATTATTTTTTTGGCCAACACATTTGGCCCCACTAACCTGTTTCTAATCAATTAGACTAATGGAATAATCTATTTGTCTGAAACAGTAAACATTCATTGTGTAAGCCTATTGATGGCCTGTATTTAGAGGTGAAAAGAGATCATTCACGGTGTAATCACTGTACTTCATACCTCAAGCCATGGGCTATGCATTAAAAAGAAACAGAAAACATTTAGTTTTATCACATTCTCATTCCTGACTAGTGATTATGAAGTATGAGGCAACAACCAAGCTGTGCCTTTGTGCATTCCTGCAGGACATTTTGCTTGTCGTCAGTGTATGACAGCTCACACTGACACCAGTGCACTGCTATTTTTCTGTCACATTGGCATCACTTAGTTTGCATCAGGCATTCTAGTCTTTGAAGAGGTCTGTCTGTTGTGCGAAGCTGCTAGCAATCAACAGATTCCATTTCATCATACTGTATACACATCACAGGCAAAGTCAAAAAACATGTCAAGGACAATCTTTTCGCTGGTGGTTCCTGTCTGCTATTTGGGACGTTTTGAGGGGATCAAGAAGACAAAACAAATCAACAGGTGCAATATGGAGATTGTGGGGACATGTGATGTGCAGCTGCTCCGATCAAAATGAACAGCTGCAGGCAGCATCCGTCTTATTTGATTGAGGGCAAACCGACACGACAGTGACAAATCATAAAATATCACAGTAACACCTTAAACAGGAAACAGACCTGAGAATTTCTGAAACACTGTGTACTCATTTTACATGTTTTTTTTCCATTGCACTTTTTTCATTCTTGAGAGTCAGAATTAAAAAAGGTTAAATGTCAAAATACAATGGAAAAATGTGTTATGTAGCTGCATTGCCAGAGTGCACACGACACGAAATATATCACAATTTGCCTACGACATTTTTTTCCTAAAGTTATCTATTAGCGTGGGAATCAGTCCGCACGGGGATTCAGGAACTGTACTTTATCATATCTAGTTTAAATAATCGAGAGAGAGAGCGAGAGAGAGAGAGAGAGAGAGAGAGAGAGAAATTAATAGAGGAAATATTTTACCGATTTTCAATTCATGGAAAACCATCGTCATGAGCAAAATGATTGGGACCATGTGTAATGATCGTGTTGCCTTTGAAATGTTTGCTTTTATAACAGGAAACACTTTGCAACAGATTACCATCTTTTATTTATTTTTTTAACCTTTACCTGAAGAAACCATAAAGCATGATAGAGTGGTCCCAGTACAGAGTCATACCAATAAATATAAATGACTGTAGATGAAAATAACAATATTTCTTAAATTATAACTGAAACGAAGTGCAGTCGAAAGGTATCTGCAAATTTTTTATGTGCTTTATTTATAGATACAGTAAGATATGTATAGGTATTTTGACTTTAGATCGTCTTCCTTAGTGATCTATGATGATCAAACTCCAGATGAGATGGAAAGAAGCAGATGAAAACATGAGTCATGTCATCTGAGGCTTACAAACCAAACGCTCTAAACTTTAAACACAAAAATTCCAAAAGTTAAACTAAAAAGCTCAACTTTCTCAACAAGTACTTGCACTTGTTTTATAGTTTGGGAATATACTTTGGGTTTAATTTCTATGCCAGTCATAGTTCTCCCAGAAAGCCCAATTCTTCAAAAGGTTTGGATCAACAAAGTTCAATTGACTTTGAAAGCATTTATGCATGCAAATCATTCAAAATGAGCAAAAGAGAATGCAAATCAGTTTAAGAATTCACTTTTACTTTCCTGCTGTGGGAGAGTCAATCCAATGTGTGTGAACACCTTTTGTCCAGTAAATGGCAAACAGTGAAATGGTTCAGGATTGTTTGTTAAAATATGACCGGTGAGGCAAGGACCTCAACATAGTATTCATTTGCACACAAATGGCTATAACATTAAAAAAAAGTGAACTAACAAAATCACAATATGATAAAACATTATTATAATCAAATATTTACACAGAAATCTGAATGTCTGACATAAAATACAACTTTCAAAACTGAGCAAATAACTATAGATCATATTTTTTCATGAGAAAATAAACAAGAAATCTTCAGCTATTATTTAAACATCAAGATGAACTCTGTTAAGTAGTTACAGTCACTTTTGCAACTTTGACAACATTTTTAATAAGGTTCATGTCACATATCACAAGGTTCATATCAGTCATAATTGTTGAAATGAAAATAAATTCAACCATATAAATCGATATATTGTCCTTTTAATAATATAGATGCATATATTTTCCTCATAAAAAAATAAGTCTCCATTTTTCGAGTCTTAGCTTCAGAAGTCTCGCATACAGTTAATTCAGTTAATGAAAAGAAATCCATTAAATATCAGTCAAATATAACTGTCATATTTCAAAGCCCTAAAAAGTGCTATATCACATCAATAGTGGCTGTGGAAAATTAGGCTTACTTATCTTTATGGTAAATGTTTCTTCTCAAGGACATAATAAACCACCCCATATAATAAGGTCATCAATTCTGGATGAACACGCTTTGTAATCAATGAGAGAATAAGAAACACCCACTGCAAGGTTATTGCCCTTGGGATAGCAAGAACACAGATGTTTTGCAAAACCTCTTTCTCTTGGGTAAATGCCTAATTAAAGTGAAATAGGGGTTAAGAAAGATTGTGCTGTACAATAAAAGCAATACAACAGGAGAAAAGTCATTCTCTCCCCTGATGCTATTATTCCACTCTCTGCTGGGAGGCATTCAGAGAGGTAATTAACTTTGCTGACATGTTGTGAATTCTTGCCTCTTAGGCTAAATGCTGGATGTGTAGATAGACTGATTGAAAAAGTCCCATTTAGGTTTCCATCTTTAAATGATCCACGTCCAACTATATTTCCATGGTAATATTGCTGATAATCGCACTAATTTTACACTTGGCAGGAGATAATAGCCACAGCTTATCCTCAACAACAAGCATTAATTGCCATCCTCATTTGTTCTGCCATGCAAAATAAAATACCTGCTGTAGTTTGCTTAAGGATGAAAAAGCACAAAAAAATAATTATGAATGTCTGCACGTCTAAAAACCTGGATGTCGTAGCATGAAAATGCTAGAACACTGAAGCTAGAAAGTATTAACCTGCATTTTACGTGGGATGTTTGTTTCATTTTGTAGCTCTATAACATAATATCTAGTTATCTTCATTACTATTATCTATCAAATGTTTTGTTTTTTTCCCCAGTGTCATGTTAAATATAGAATACATACACACGTGCACGATATATATAGATATTATATATGCTTGTTTTATCCAGCTTGCTTAAGCCCAGATTTACAGCAGTGTAACACTACAAAATAAACACATCAACACTTGAAAAGGAGAAACCAGTCGATTTTTTTGGCTTTTCTGCTTGTTAAATGACTTGTTAACTGACAGGAGTTGTGATACAATGAACTTTAATCTCAGGGTGACCTATTTGTCTATTTTAATTATATATCTAATCATAGTTGTAAACCCATGTTTCCTCTAGCGATTTAAAAAGTACACACTGTCAACTTTTAATTGAGCCTCCAGGTAAAACAACTGAAGATCACTCTTAGGCCCCTTCAGTAATTGCGCTTTGAGGTGGGCATGAGTGAGCCACTTAAGATAATGGAGAAAAAAATAGATTCCACGTGAAATTGGTCTTTTTGAAAAGTTGCTGCAATCAATAACTTTGCACCCACAATGAAATTATATTAAGTTAAATGACTGACACCTGTGTGGCAAAGTAAGAGGGGCCACTCATAGCTAGTTGGATTATTTGCTTCTTGCGTCCAAGTTTCCAAAAATACTGTCATAACAAGGTTAAGATGGCTACGAAATAAGACAATATTTTTCATAAATTCATGACAGCTGCCACTATTACACAACAAAAGTATTAAACTAGTGAAACTAAATTAAGAATTACCACTATTAAAGGTAGATCTGTTTAAATATTGTAGGGAATAATAAAACAAGAAGGCCAACTACTGCTAAAATAAATCAGAGATTTTGCTAAATCAACATGTTTTGCTGCTTCAATTAGTAGTTGCTACTATGATACGGCACAGTGGCTAGCGTTGGAATTGTAGTATAATACATCAAGTGCAATACAACACTTGCTGTTATCACCTAAAATGACAGTTACTGCCAAAATCAACCAGGAAATTCTGTTTCTAATCAAGTCAGAAGTCAATTTAAGAATAGAGAACTCTGTAATGATACTATAGGGTTATTAATTAAAAGATAATTAATAGCTTATGTTAATTACAAGAATCTGTAACTAATCAGCCCATCAGAGGAGGTTAATTTATACAAAGAATTTTAAGTTATAAAGCACATTTAGCATCCAATCAATAGCCCAGTCTTTACATTGTCGAACAATTCCTTTCTTACCTAAAGTCAGAGACTGTGCAAATGATTAATTCACACCACTCTGGTAAAATTATGTCAAGTTCTTGTCATCTGAATGCTACACGTGTTTTCTTTTTGAAGAAGCTGTTGAACTACCTGTGCACAGGCTGCACTTGTACACACTCATTAATGCTTTCAGTGTTTGCTCTTTGCATTGTGAAATCTTTACTCCGCAGCCAGAGACAAGAAATACGTGTTTGTCCCACCCCATAATCTCTGATGTCAAAGCGATATAAAAGTCTAAATAAATGGAATTGCCGAGGATTAAAAAAGATGACTGTGACATTACCTCAGATCGTTTTCTCAGGATGGAGGTTGTCTGGTGCTGCGGCACTAATACCATTAGTATAATTGGAAGCTGGTTCATATGTAATACAAGTACTTTATCAGTCAGTGAAGTCAGTTGCCCACTCAGTGTCAAACGAGCAGAATGGAACTCAATATTTGTACGTCATCACAGATTGCTTCTACAGTTTACATTGTGCAAAGGAAGTAGAGTGAGAAGAAAGTTAGTCTCTGTGAAAAGCAATATATATACAAAATTTTAAGGTCTATTTAGTATAGCTGATTTATGCTGTTGTCCAGTAACAAAATCTATCATCGTTATCATAACTGATTATGCTAATGATAAAGGTAAGATATTATGTTGTCAGCTTGCCTGGTAGTTTTTAACCAAGCTTAAGGCAGGGACCTAAGAAGGGATTAACTTTACCATGGCAAGGAAGGGCAACAGTGAACACTTCACATATACTCACAAATGTATGTAAAAAATTTAATAACAGAATTGGAAATCATTATGTTTTCTCAGGAAAATTAAAACTGCATTTTCCATCTAAGGACGTAGTTCGTGGATTTATGAAGAGGGGTTTTGGGGGGGCTTGCCGGTGGTATGCAGTCTCACATGGCTTTTGCTATTCAGTCTTTCTTTTTATAGAACAATATCTAGGATTTGATGCCACATTTTCAGGGGCTTTGTAAAACCTGAAGAATTGATTAATTCAGAGTTTTTGCCAACTTTTTCTTCTTTAAGAGTTTGTGGTGTTTCTGATCATTAGAAGGACACTGGTTCATAATCAGGAGCTTATTTGCATTTTCTTTCCATTTTTATCTGGGCTTTGCATAATGTATATTTTAAGCTGTCAGTGCTGTACAAAAGACTATTTTCTATGACTTGTTACAGCAAAAAAGATGACAAATGTGTTTTGGCAAACTTGAATCTAAGTGGAACTCAATTAAACATGTGAAAATGTTACAACCATAGCCCTTAAAGCCATAAATATATGTAGTGTTTCTTAGACTACAAGCCAAAATGCAATACGGGCTGAACTTAACTCATTATACTACAAATCGTTGCCATTTCAGTATTCATTCACTGTATAATCACACAGTTGCTTTAAATGCAGAGCATCCAGTGATTGTAAGTTTAACTTTGATATTCAATAAACATGAAGTCTCCAGTTACTTTCTAGCTATCTCAACTTTATAGAGGGGATGTAAGCACCTTTTTCTGGTTTGTGTATGACATCTCCTTTCAGTGAGACCTTGATTAGTTTCTAGCTTGGAGAGTCACTTCCTGGCATTTGCAAATAATTCATTCACTTCTTAATGGCCATAATAAACGAGAGCTCACATTGAAGCTAATCCTCCTAAGTACACACAATAACTGAAAAAGGTAGCAGTATAACAATCAGCTTTATGAGCCTTTGCTATTATCCACAACTCTTTGTGAACAGGTTATGTTTCCTTAAAAGAGTATTATTATGCTTCATTACCACTTTTCAGTGTTGTGTTTTCCATTTTCTAATGTATATATATATGTTACATATTACCACCTATTTTGCACTAGTTATACTTGTAAAGGTAGGGCAAAAAAACCCAAACAAACAGAAAAAGCTGGTGCTGAATACAAATTGTCTGCAAAGCACTTAGGATTTTATCATTTCCCGACTTGAGGTACAATACGCACACCAGAAAATGAAAATGTTCTACAGAAGTGAAACACTGATTTGCAGTAAATGTAGCTGTTATGAGTGAATTTCAATTATAGGATGGATACCCCACAATGCTTTGGTACACTGCAGAGTTCTGAGTTAATTATTTGCTTGACTAATGTGCAGGCCTTAAGATAGAGGTTCAGCAACCAAAACAATTTTTTTTCTTTTCCTTTCCTCCATTGTTCGTGAAGAAAAGAGCGTGAGGCATGGGTGCATTTCTTTTTCTCAGTAGGTTTACAGAAACAGTGAAGCATTTGTGCTTGGTTTGATCCTCCAGGGGAAAAAAAAAACAATCTGCAGTAGGAAAAGGAGGTTGGAAAAAATCTGTTTTTACAATTTGATATGGGAATTATTCCACACATTAATTAAAACAGATTTTTTTTTATGTTATGAATTTGTTCCACTATGCGTTAAAACACAGCAAACTCTTTAAACTTCTTAGCACCACCAGCACGTCGAAAGCTAGCATTGCTTCTTTTTCCGCAAAATAGGGTTCCATTGAAAGGCATATTAAAAGATAACAGCAAACATTAACCTTGCATTGCTCACAACCACTGGCTTTAATAACATTTTGTTCTTTTTGTTAATCAAAATAATATCTGATACTCATGTTACTGAAGCCTGGTACAAGTGTGTCATTCTTCCTGGGCTAAACAAATGACTAACATAGAAGTCATCGATATAAAAGTGCACATCAGTCCCTAGATGAGTGTCCTTGTACACATTCAGCCTGCAAATTTCTTTCAGTATCTGGATTTCAGTGTTGTTCTTCTTCTCTATGCTCTGCAGAATCCTTTAGCTTACCCACCATACGGCTAAAAATGTCTCTGGGCATAATGGTCACCAGCGGTGCAAATGTGTGAGTCAGTGTAGAAGAGAGTCTAAACTTAAACAAAAAGCAACATGCAGTGGGAACGGGGGAAAAGACCTTCATACAACAGAATTTGCAGTCCTACAGCTCAGACAGAAGTATGACTAGTATCCACTGATAAAAGCACAATATCCAAAAAGAGTTTGGCTTAAATAATAAAAATTTGGCTTCAATAAAACTTCATGTGTTTTAGTGCTTTTCAGACTTACATTACACCAGTCTGATCTCTTGCAGCTTTTAAGAAAAATACAACTTTCTCACGACTTTATACTCTTAATTGAACCTTCTTTTCTTACTTATTAAAAACTACAATCACTGTGTAATAAGAACATCATAAAGCACTGCAAAATTTTAATTTCCTTCTCTAAAGGTAAATTATAATGATCTCTGAGTTTTTGTTTTGGATTTTGGTTTTTCGACATTGAAAACATATTCATAGAAGTGCGTTTTGCACCATGGTATTTATAAACTATTTGACTGGATGTGTAAAAATACACTCTGACAAGCAAAGCATTTAACTGGGGCCACTTTTCAGCAGCACTCTTATCTCCCAAGTGTTTTTTACGCACGTGTTGCTGGCAGGAAAAAAAAAAACATTGATTAGTCAGAGCTGACCCTTGCCAAATTAGGCAACACAATTTAATAAGGCTAATTTCCCTTTATGACCATAAAAAAAATAAACAAGAAGAAACATGATCTTAGCTAACATGACCCTCTTCAATTACTGAAGATAATTAATGGTCTTGCTGCACTGAACAAGGAGACAGCATGGTGAGGAAGCCTTTCACTACACTGAGTAGATGTTGGGATTCTAAAAAAAAAAATTCACTCTCTGCTGGGAAATTATACTTCTAGAAAGATGGTTACACAAATTGTGCAACAGTGCAGCTGAATGACCTTCTGTATTTTAGTCATCTTCGTTATTGGATGAAATTTCATTATCATATCTGCTGTTAAACTCAAAGGTGATAGATAATATTGAAAGCTCTATCCCAGCATAGACCAGTAACTTGATAATGACTGTGATCGTTTTGTCTTTTGTTTGGTTACTGAGTCATCCCTGGATGATGAATGCATATCAAAGTGCACAAGAAAACACGGTGACCAGATTTGATATTGGTAGATTGGCAGACAGTCTCAAAAGAAAATGTCGAAAGGATGATAGTTATGGGTCACAAAGAGAAACAAAGTTTAAAAGCATTGCATAAAGATAGAGATGGTTTTATGCCTCTACTACTTTTACTGGGACCTACATGTGTTGAAAATGATTCTTTTCAGTTGAGCTTAGCAAAGAGAATAGTCTAGTAAAAAGGGCAGTTCTGTACTGGCGTCTCTCTTTTTTTTCTCCTTTTTTTTTTTGATTGAAAGGGGAACTAAAATTGATCACACAATGGCTCATATTCTGCCACATGCACTTTTTTGTCGACATTGATGCGAGTCAGTAAGTGAAAGGACACACCAGGTGAGACGAGCCAAAGGCTGGCACTGTCAGAACAGCACAGTGTCTGGTTCTGGCTCAGCAGAGCAGCTGCTTTGATGCCCTGGGAGCCGAGAAACCTGACTGCAATTTTTCAGTGCCTTAGTGGAGCGCTGCATGCTGGGTAGGCTGCGGCACGGATCAGGCTTCAGCAGATTCAGCGAAGGAAACAGGCCTGTAGGTAAAAAGAAACTTGTGAAATTGTGGTATCTGTGAGTTTCCTGATATTTTACCGCAGATTTCACTTCATTAAAATTGTGCACCCTGTAGGCTTTTGTCCCTTAAATCTTAAACACCCAAACATGTGAAACCCTCATAGGCTACAGGTTGGAAATTAAATATTGGCTTCTGACAGCAGGTTAACTTTGAAGTCAATTCACTGGAGCTAAATAGTGAAACCATCTGAAGTTTCTCTTAATTTGTGCTTGCAATATGTAGTCACAAACATCCCCAGATCAAATACGAGTTTGCTAAGTATTCCATATAAGGAATAATTAATTTAATATAATAATTAATTTAAGCTAACATACATGCATCTTGTTAGCATTTTGCACCTGTGTGTGCTGGATCAGAGATATATGCACATTCAAGAGGAAGATGCACATTAAAGAGTCATTATAACAAGTGATTGTCATTTGTATTTTTAGTTCAGTTATACAGCTCACAGTCTGAAATGCTGGAGAGCTAATGTTCCATTGTCATTACACATTTAAACAGAAACAATTTGCATAATGTCTCTGCCCTTATTCAGTGTCCCCATCCACGAGGAGTATTACATTCCCACAGGTTAAATGGTGAGGATTTTTCTATTGATTTGAGGATCATAAACCACACAACAATCACATAAATTGCTCAGTGAGTTTCAACAGATTTATACAGTTTTCCACCTTGTCTGTACCCAAGCATAAGCCATATAAGAATATAACAAGAATATAAAAATGCTTACCGTGATGGTCAGCAGGTTGTGAGCAGAAATCAGTAGCATCCCACTCGTAGTTCTCATCGACAGAGACCTTTCTCCTAGAGAGGCCATAAAACAAGGCATGTTTAATGCACGTTCACACACACTCATGACTGTCTACAAATGGAAAAGTACTATGAGCCACACTTCGAGTTCTCCCAGCAAAGAATAAACTATTTCATGTTTTTTGCTTCATAGTTTGTCAGACGGAGCACAATGCTGAAGGTGTTCTTGCAAATATTCAGAAATCTTTAATATTATCATCATTTTTTTTAAACAGCTATTAAAAGTTTTCCTGTAGAACAAAGAAACTCTATAATCTCCATCTCATTCTCAGTTATGAAATATATTTTGCTTTATGCAATATATCAGTGTTTGATGTTGATCAAATGGATTCAATTATTTTGATGTTGTTCACACTGTATTCCAAAAAATACCAACACACAAACATCATCAGATGCTCTTCTACCTTGATAGAGTTTATATAAAAATGCAGGATTAAATTACTTTTTTTAAAAAACTTCTTTTTAACTTTTTGATATGTTTTAAAGAATAACCTTGCTCTAAAGTTTGGTTTTCTAAAATTGGGTACACAGCATATTACTGTAATCTGAAAACACAATGTGCAATGTTTCTTTCTATAAACTACATTAAATTGTATATTAGACTAACCTTGCAAGCCTTGTATTTACGACACAGGGTTTATTCAAGTTGCAAATGTAATCCCACACATTTTGTTCTATACAACATAATTTCCTTTATTCATTATGGCTTAATACCTTTGGCTTGGTTCCATTTTGTTATTTTGTATGTCCTGTGTGTTCCCCTGGGTGTCCTCTATAGTCTCAGGTGAGCTTATAAGTGTTGGAGAAAGGTGACACATGGAAAGGCGCCCATTACTGGGCTCCATGCTTCCTAGGCCACTGCTGGCATAACTGCTGTAGCTGCTGCCAGACTCTGGCACTCCATCGTAGCCTCCTGCCTCCAATTCCAGTACCTCGTGAGCATCGGTGTTGGGCAGTAAGCATTTAGCGGCTCCTTTCACGGCCTCCAAATAACCTCCCTCCTGTTCCATGTCCTCCTGGTAGTCCCCTGGCATTGTGGCAGCACTGGGTACAAGACAGGTCTCTCTTCTTGGTTCGTAATGACAAGGCACATTAGGATTTGTTGTGGGCCTTTCTGGACGGCTCATTGAAAATAGAGGGTCAGCAGCAGCAGCAGCAGGAGTTAAATAGGTGGCATATTTGGTATCTGCATGATCATTTGGAGGAGAGCTGGTAATCTTCCTAGGAGGAGCACTTTGAGGTTTCCAGAACAGCGAGTCTGGAGGACAAGATGATGGAGCAGAGCAGTTTTCTTGGCTAAGAGAGTCTATCCATGCATCAGGAGTCAGGAAATTGCTTTCCTTCCGTCTTCTCAAGTCTAGACTCTGACTTCGCTGCTTAGAGAGTGATATTTTAGAGCCTTGGCTCGGAGCTTTCAACATGTGTGGTTCTAAAGGTTGCGAAGAATCTGGGACCCTGAATATATCATCCACAGAAACAGGGCCACGGCAGTTCAAGCTTGTGCTCCTCCTCATATCATGATGCCGACCTCTGCGGGTCAGTGTGTGCCCTTGAACATGAGATGCAATTCGTTGGTGCAACATTGGCTTTGCAGGCCGCACACGACACATCTCAAAGTGTGGCTCATCTACACTCATCTCAACACACAAATCTTCACCAGTGGGTTTGGGGAGCACTACCTCCACATTTGAAGAGCCTGGCAACGCATCAAGAGCTGAATTAGATCTTTCAGTGTATTTATTGCTGTAGAAAGACAATGTTGAAAGGCTGCCATGACTAAGATTGTTCTGTCTCTGAGTCTCAGAACATGAATCATTTGTTTGCATATCTAGGCCTGTGGATTGTGGTGAATCATTATAGCTTTCTGGTGCTGCCCCTGCTCTTTCATGTCTCTGGTGCTCTAGGGAAAGATGTGGGAGAGTTAATCTGGCTTTCGAAAAACTGCCTGCCTCCTCAGATTGAAAGGAAGTCTGTTTGGGCAAAAACGGAGAAGAATGACAATTGCTGGACTTTAAATATGAGGGAGCTGCAGCTGATGATGCGTTGAGATGGGTCCTGGATTGGATCAAAGTGGGTGGAGAAACAAGAGGATGCGTTTCCCAGTAGGAAGAAGATGATGATAAAAAGCTTGGTGAGAAACAACGGTTCTCCTTGCTGGCTAGGGAGTATCTGTGTGGCAAGGTGCTGCTCTTGTATTCCCATAAAAGCTCGTTGCCACCATCCTCCCTCCTCTTTAAGTCTGACTGCTCGTGCTTTGTGGAGTTTCTTTCTAACGTGTACCACTGCAGCTCCCTCTCTAGTTCCTCCCTCTCCTGAGCCAGCTTCAGGCAGCGGTGCAGGTTCCCCCTTTCCCTCTCATGTTCCATTTGGAGCACCAGAGCGCTTGCAGTTGTAGATGGCTGACCAAGGCCAGCTCGGATATGTGGAAGCACTGGAAATACGGGAGTCATTTCTCTGTCATGATGATGAATAGTGGCCAAACTACTGTCAGAGCACAAGCTGCTGAGTTCAGGAAAGCCATCATAACTTGACTTCTTGCAAGGCGGGAGATCAACAGAAAGCACAAATGGACACTCTTTCCTGTCTTCCTTTTCCGAGTGCAGTGACACAGACCTTCGAACTTTGGAGTGTTGGTCATACCTTACACTTTTCTTGCTGTGAACACTCAGAGTCTCAGTGTCATACGGTGGGAGTGTGAATCGCCCATCTGGGCCTCTAGAGATCATCTCAATTGAAGGAGAAATTAGAGATGTTGTTTTAGTGAGGCTGTCTCTGCTGTACTTGGACATAAGATGCTTCCTCCGATTATTATTCTCAGTGCTAAATGAGGAACAGTCTGTCTGCAAAGAAGAGGAGGTGGTGGTAGAGGAAGATGTGGGATAGTGGGAGCTGGCTGGAAGCAGGCTTTTCTTCAGCACACTGTCTGGAGTGCTGGTGCCTGAAGTCTTTCTGTGAGGGGGAGAGAGAAAAAGAGGGAAAGGGAGGGGTGACAGAAGAAAATTGTAAGAAAAACTGGAGGTGTGAGGGGAAGAGAAATAGAGGCAGAGAAAATAAGACTGAGCGAAAGTGAAAGAGGGGGCGGGAGAAATATATAGAGAGAGACTAAAACAGCAGCAGCAGCAGCAGAGGATGAGGAAGAAAACAAAGATATGCAATAGAAAATAACTGAAGTGCTGGCATTTTCAGCACACTTAAAGGAAGGCAGAGGGAAAGGTGAATGGGAGGTATTATAATGAAATGATAAAGGGGTACTTACATTGATGGGGAGCATTTATAGATGGCAGTTGGGGGCTCTGAAAGGAAGGGAGAGGGGCAAGATGGCATCTGACTCAGTAGGATACAACCACACTGACCAAGAAGTAAAAACATAATCAACCGTAATAAGAGCCCATTATAGGTCCCGAGGCACCCAGGCTTGTCCAAAAAGTTAATTACACTTACATTTATCAGCCACTAATGAGAAATTACCCTAATTAGCAAGTAATGTAAATGACATCAATAACTTTTACAAGTGAATGGACGAAGGGGGTGGACAAGAGGAGCGCCAAATCCATGCAGTGGGCCATGATTTATATAATGGATTGAAAGTGCTTTCAATATTTTATTGAATAAATGATTATATTCATGATGCAGTTCATCAAAGTGAGTGTCTGCTGAGTCTCTGGAGTGAGGAGCATTTTACCATCTCTCTTCTTTCTGCGGCGCTGGTTCCTCTTGCGGTTGATGATGCAGGCGGACCCCAGCAGCAAGACCAGGGCCAACAACATGAAGCCGACCCCACCCAGGACACCGGCCAGTAACGACTCTGGGACGAACTCCAGGAGCCGGGAAGTGGACGGGTAGATCTCCATACCTGTGACATGATTTCAGCAGTAGTACATGTTGCTAAACAAAGGCTGGTCTGATCATAGCTATTTCAAAAAAAAGTAACATACATTTTAAGTATATATATATATACATATATGTGTATATATATATATATATGTAGATAGATAGGGGGGGGGGGGGGGGGGGGAGGCGCAAGGATATAGATGGATAGAACTATAGGATTACATAAATATATACTTGATTAAAGGGGAAAGCACAAACTTGAGAACAATAGCAACAACAGAATAATACTAAAACAATAAATTTACATTCTACATGATTAAAAGGTTTTTAGGTAGATTTAATCTCCAGTCTACATCCCTGATAATAATGTTCATCTAATCAGCAACTTAATTATTTTGCATAACTTAATCTGTCAGATGTAAAACTGAGATTATCAGCAGAGCTGTGTTAATCAACAGGATATTGTTTTGGTGCTGATGGTCCTACACCATTAGGGGTTGCAGATCTCTCTGTTTAATGTCTCTGTACTCTAGCTAATGTAACATTCATGCCATATTCACATAATAATAAGAAAAGTGCAAATTCAATCACTAACTCTTTTGAGAAGTTATTAGTGGAGCCATTTCAATCATTCAGGCTTCTAATGGACAGCTTTCCCTGAGGCCCTGCTCTAATTTTAGTCTAACGCTGGGAACAGAGGGATGGGATAAGAAATATAGAAAGAGGGGGGAAAGAGTTAGGACAAGGAGACTGAGGAAGTAGAATGGGTTCAAACACAAGGTGGGGAACAAATGTGAAGTGAGCAAGGTTGCTCACCAAACCTACCTGCAGTGGAGACATTGACTGATGGACTGGGCTCGCTCAGCAAGTCCCCACGTCGAGATAGCAGTCGCAGCTCGTACACACAGTCCTGAGACCAGCATCCGCACACACACAAACACACACACACAGTGGGGAGGACAGAGGATGAAACCACACTTTGTCAACACTGGATTGTGCTTGCAATGCTAATGACGTTCATTTGAATTCATGTAGGCCTATACAGGAGAGAAAGAGGAAGGATGAAACAGACTGGAGGAGAAAAAAAAAGGCAACGCATGCAGATTGAAATATGACAGAAAAGTGATGACTGTCATGAAGTGTGTATAATTGAGAGTCTGAAAAAGTAAAACCACGGAAGGAAAGCTTAGATAAAAATCTCAAAGGCATTCAACAGGCAGCATGGACTGATTAGTCTCGCAGGGAGCAGCGTGTCTGGCTTGTTACCTTGTGCAGACCCGGAACCACTATCTCGCTACTGTTGGCACTGATGTCCTCGTCCAAATTAAACCACTCCCCTTGCTCGGTGCGGGATTGGAGAACAAAGCCAGTGACGGGAGGGTGCTGAGCTTCAGAAAGGAACCATTGCAGAACAACACCTACTGAACCCCGATTAGCTGACAGCGATGCAGGGGGCTTTAGTTTGTTTTTCCTTGGTGGAGGATCTGATGCAGAGAGAATGAGAAAGAGCTTCAGTCGATCAGATTGATATGTTCTGGCGGAAAAATTAAATTACACCAGAGGAAATTGCTACAGCCACTGATGCTCAATCTTCAGAATGTGAGGGGAATAAGAGAGAGGTTGACATTAGTCTTTTGCAGTGTACCAAACAAGAAATACATAGTCATATTTATGCAGTTTGGTAAATTCAAGACTTTTTGATAAAAACATATCCATCCATCCAATTGTATCTATCTAATTCCTAACTGAAACCACTGATATAGCATGCTTACTCCTTATTTTCAGGATTATCATATTATTATAATTAACTGCTGCCATGAATGTTTAACAAAGACAAACTAACATGATCAGGTTGTTTGTTTCCCCTGAGTCTAGCCTTTATTTTATTTTTTTGGCTACCAACATAAATATCTTAAAAAATAAAAATCTAAATGTTATTTTTTTTACTTCCTATCCAATGGATTTCACCTTCAAATTAATTTCCATGATCTCTCAGATGTCTCACAGATATATTTTCTCTGACTGGAATGAAAAAAATGTTTGTAGCAAGGAAAAAAAAATCTGCATTTAACAACATTTCCACAGACTGTAACATCCACAACTCCAGCCTTCATGAGTCTAAGGCAGAGGACTAAACAGATTTTAATGTACTATCCATTCATCTATGAAGAAAACAGTAGTGCCACTGGGTGTATAAACATTGCATTTTAATGTTGGTTTTTGCCCTAAGCTAAATTTTGATAATTTTTTGATGACACCAGAGAGTTGTAAATCACACAAAATACCTTTGAACATATGGGCCCAATGCTGGAAAAAAAAAGTTAAACATGACAAAGAGTGACCGGCATGCTGACAGCTCTCTCTATTTAGACACAGCAGTGCTTTGTGATGAATACTAACATGCTCTGACAGTGCTTACATGTTAAGCTTTATATATCTTCCTTTAACAAAGATCACTTGAGTGAATACAAAATGTAATTTTAAAAAAAAGCTATCCAAACCTATGTGAAAAAGTAACCTAATGATCTGAAACACACCAGCAAGTCCACCTCTGAACAGAAAAAACAAAGGTGAGCTAGTCAAAGTTTGGAATTAAATTCAAATGAGATGCTTTGGCATGACCTAAATCGGGCCTTTAATGCTTGAAAACCCTCTAGCGTTCCTGAATTAAAACAATTCTACAAAGAAGAGTGGGCCAAAATTGCTCCCCAGCGATAAGAAGGTTATTAGATTTAGGGCCAACTTTTTTTTCCCACACACAGGCAGGTTTGCTTTTTACCCCCTTAATAAATGATATCATCATTTAAAAACTGCATATATTATTCATTTAGTTGACCTTGTCTAACATTAAAATTTTTTGATTTGAAACGTGTAGCAAATATAAAAAAGAAAAATAAGAAATCGTGAAGAGAGGAAATCCTGTTTCACTGCACTGTGTTTTGTTTCCAGTTTGTGTCACTACAGGAATGCTTGAATGGGATCAAAGAATGCTATAAGAGTTGCAATGAGTGTGCAAACCTTTTGTTTTATGTGCTCATTTGGCATTTTAAGTCTGTATTTAAAAGTAGCAATAGTGAGATAAGAAACAACACATGTATGCGAACCAGTTAATCAATTTTTGGACCGAGCCTGAAATGTGAAAGATGTGAAAGATGAGATAAACCCATTAGGTTTCATCTTCTAGGCACTGAAAATCATGACTGAAAATGATGTTTAGGTTTGTGCTGGGGAATAGACCAACTGATGGAATAGCTTACAGACTTCTTCAGTCACAAAGTTAGTTGTACTGCAAGAACATTATTATTGTCACTGAGAGCTGACTCGCATATTTATCACACAACAGCTAAAGTTTGCTTTTGGCCTTTGGGCAGAATTAACCTTAATTAGCTGCAGCTGAGAGTGAGGAGGAATACAAACATCTGATAATAGATTTGTTAGCTTTGGAGTGAATCAGACAGCAAATCTCCATTTTGTGCCAAAATAAGATCATCCTTTGAAATTGCAGCTCCGTAGACAGATTTAGATAAAACCAGGGGATGATACTGACCCAAAGTCCGTGCAGTGGCGATGTCACTGAAGGGGCCAGTTCCCATTTTATTCTGAGACAGGATACTGAACTGGTAGTCGGTGGAAGGAGACAGGCCTGTCACCTGCAGCCTAGTTGCAGAGGAGGGGGGCACAGGCACAGAGAACCAGTCCTGCTTCCCATCATCATCACTTGCTGAAATCTTTTTCACCCTGCAGAGGAGGCGAGACAAAGAGAAAAGGAGTGAGAACAAAAGAGGAGCAGGGAATTCTGGGAGTGTGATTTTATGAAACATGACAGAAAAGTAGGTTTCATTAAACATTCATATTCGTCATCAGCTCCAGAATGTGTGGCAGAGACGGCACTGATGTATCTTGTGAAATTGCACAGAGAGCTTGCAACTCCAATTATAGTGATTTTCATGTTTCTACCAGAGCTGAGGTTCTACATGTCTTTTCTCTACAGAGAAAATTACCTGACCCTAAGGCTAAAAAATACCCTATTCACCTATTCAAAAACAGCAGAAGAAATATTAATACCAGTTTCAGAAAAGCAGGGTTTGTTTTTTTTTAAATGATGACTTGGACTCCATCAGTGCTACTGGTAACATTAACATGGTTATGCTGACTTTCTCTTTTGATATTCAAGTGTACAAAGAATTCAGTGCAGAGACCTTATGTTACTGTGTTCTGCAATAAGCAAATCACTTTTATTAGGCAAATTACAAGAGCAGAGACTTGTTTCATTTTCAAGAGGAATAAAAAGCTGCCCAAAGAGCCATAACACATATGCGTGATTTTAAACATTTCTTCTGCTAGACGCGACAAAGTGCAACAAGAACATGTTTTTTTTTTTTTAAATCATTTGTGGACATAACTGAAACGTATGGTGATTAAAGTTACCATACGTTTCAATAGGTATGACTTTCACATTATACCCAAATATCATTATATGCTGAACTTCTTAAAGTAAGACGATCATCCTCCTGCTTTTCTCACTGTAGTGTTTTCATTTAACCTGTGGTCACGGCAACACATGCTGTGACCACAGGGTGTCAAAGGAAGCTGCAGCCAAGACTCGGGAGGTTGTTTGATCATGGCTGATCTATTTTAGTATTTTTTAAGTCGTTTAGATTTATTTATGTGCTCCTTACTGTAGCACTGACCCTCTCAAGGATTAAGACAGCTCATCTCATGTTTATCTGATGTAGCACTCTCAGGTTACAGTGTGGTCTTTGAAGAACTTTTGTGTATCTCTGTACTAGTATTCTCTGACATAAAAAATACATGGTGATCTAAATATAGTTTATTATTTATTTCTTGAAATTAATTAGAAAATATACACTTCGCGTTCATGCTAAACTTTTTTTAACAGTGCACACATAATTCTGGTTGTTTTTGACCAAGTTCCACCAATTTAAGATTCCTTTTATTCTCTCCATCACACCACAAGCATATCTAAAACAAAATCCATTCATCTATGATTCATCAGAACAAAAGTGCTGATTCACAGGAAAAGAAAGTAGGCAGATTATCCTCTCTTTTGTCAGTAACCTTGTATTGTAGCTAGCATGGCCACTGCATTATAAAGTTATGCTCTGTAGCAGCGTTTTTTTTATTGAAGCTGCCAACAAGTGATAACAGATAAATGAACTCCTCATTCGGGAGATCAATAGAGTGATACCACTGCTGTCGATGGCTGCCATGGTTACTGCCCGAAAAGAAAGTGGGTGGCTTTACACCCACCAAACTGAAAATGTCTGTGCTGATCCTCCATCAAAGCCTGCCTCCCAGGATATGTTGGCCTGCTTCACCCCTGGAGACACGGACAGCGAGGTAGCCGCATGGGGACTGGTTCCTGTAATGGAGGGAATGGAGAGGTGTTGATGGAAATCGGCCAGCACTTCAACTACCTGGAGTTTAGAGGCCATCTCTCTCTGTACTACATTTATCCATCGGAGGCGGAGTGGAGGCACAGGCATCTGGCCTGTGCTGGGTGTAATAAAGGTTTACACAGGTACACAGAAAATAATTTGGGAAAGTAAAAACTAAAAATGTGCACAGCTCATGTAATCACTGTGTGGTTATGGTATTGTTAGACAGGACTCACCCAGAACAAATACGTGTGTACTGGTCTTTACTGAGGCTACACGATTAGAAGCGCTGCACTCCCACACCCCCTGGTGGTCCTTGGTCAGAGGCTGCAGCAGCAAAGAACCATCCGGTTCTACGGAGTAGGAAACGCTACGAGCCAGGCCGACCTATCAAAAACACCAAAACCATTCACACGTGGAAGAAAACTCTCTGCGTTGGTATAATCAGATGTACCTATACCATGAATGAAAGATCTTATAACTTTCACAAATAGCTGGGACATATTAGGACAAACAAATTACAAGTCAAACACAAGTCAAGAGTTAATTTAACTTGTGCATTTCATGGCAATTTAATATGCATTGCTGACCAGACATATTGGGACATATATTTGTTGATAAGCTTATTTATTGATTGACTGATTGATTTTGTTTGGGCTCCATTGAAAAATTGAATGTAGTCCTCTAGGTTTGAAAAGCTAATGCAGAACTGCCTTAAACCTGCAATTCTTCTAATAGCCACTGGGGGCCCTGTTTGTGAAAAGAGGTCTGATTGTATACCAATGACTGTAGAAACATCACATGATTCATTTATGATACTGTTGTTGTGTCCATTGAAGAGGTATTGTGGAGAGCCTTCAAACCCTGCAAACATGTTGCACCCCAACTCAACATGGACAATGCTGTACATGCTGATTGTTTGATAAGTGGGCTAGAATAGGAAACAGAGACCAGGAATGGAACAAAGGTCCAATTCACAGGGTCTGGTTTTCAAAAATTATGGCAGTAGCCAAAATGGTTAAGTGAAAACTTCAAATATCTGCTGGGTCAGTGTACTAAGGTTATACCCACATTATATACAGTCTACTGTCTATACTCCAAGTGACTGGATTTGAAATGTAATGACAAAGGAGGTTAAACAGCAGATTTCTGCTAAATTTGAGTCATAAAGTTTACAGCATGCATAGCAATTTTGTTATACAACCATCCGAATTTTGCCCTTATTTCTATGAGTGTGGATATAAAGTCCTTTTTTTAATTGAAAATCAGGCAATTTCATAATAAAAAGTGGTGATAAAGTTGCTCTTTCAACTGCTGACTGGTCTCAATCTCTGGCAAGGAAAGACACTGATGCACTGATTTTGCTTCTGGCTGCACTCATCATTTGGTCTAGTTACTTCTTAGACTAGTCAAATGGCAGCAAGAGCATCTCTTATTTCTGTAATGCGACTTATTTTCAAGTGAACTGGAAAATCTGCGTAGAATATTATTATACAGGAGATGAGCTCAAATCCTTTAGATAACTAAGAAGACGGCATGGTAAGTGCCTACAGCACAACACATCATAGAGCTGTACAGGACTGTTTGCATCCATCCACACCTCCTTTATCCATGTTCTTAGATGAGGAGGAGGAGGATCAACTAGAAATGAATAAATTAGACCTCTGTCCTTTGGAAGCCTAAACAAAATTTTTGCCAACTGCAATCAAAACACACGCCTCCTACATGATACAGCTCCACCAGCTACTACTACCCACAAGCTAAGGTCAAGTGCAGATTTATACGGTTAGGCAGTCACCCCTCAACGTGTTTTACTGGATACATTTATGTATACATCCCTAAGTGCAAGATGAGTCATCATGAGTCAAATGGATGCAGGGTGGAAGAGTGAAAAATATTGTCTTTACTCATTTAGAAAAGTACATCAGGAAAACAATAACTGGAAATGTATCTGTTTATACACACCCAGACTGCATCATATGTACTCTATGTCCTGTGCAAGCACTGACTCATGTGTCTGATTCTGATTTCCGAGTAAACAATATAAATTGAAGATCCGTGTAAGCATTTGCACTGACATGAATAAAACAGGACGCTTTTTAAATAAACCACAGTGGGTAATTTACCTTGCTCCAGGTCACTTTAATTGTTGGGTCCACATTTCCTTGACAGGGGATAAGCAGGGTTCTACCAGCCTCCACTTTATACTGTTTCTCCGGAGTGATGCTGAATGAAGGGGGGTCCTGCGAATTGCCAAAACAATATAGCTGAATTAAGGAGTCCGCAGCAATCCCAACAATGGATTTTAAGACTGGATTACTGCCGCTTTGGACAAGATTATCTTAATAACAAAAGGATTAGCCACACAATTAACTCCCCAATAGTGCCACCATTGTAGTTACTCTGAGTTGACTTCTATTAATGTCAGAGGGCTCACGTCAGAGTAAAAAGGTCAATAAAATGTCGTTTCTCTTAAAGTTTTTAATTTGCTGTGACAGATGCAGTTGTGGCTAATTAAAATGATCTCACATTACTGCAATTGACAGCTCAGTCATAAGAACAGGACAGATTCGGAGGCAGACTCGATGAGCTTTTAGGTCACATCTAAACCACAAAGGCGGTATTTGTGGTGCGTGAAATGTAATCTGTCTTGTGTACATCATTACAGTGGCTTCATGTGATACACAGCATCCCTGTGGTGAGAGACCCAGGTGGCCTGGACTGCAAACTAACCTGTAGAATTACACTAGTTGGTCCAGATGTGCCCATAGTGCCATAGCTGTTGTACGGAGTACACCTGTACATGCCCGCTGCATCATCGTTGACAGTCGCCATGAACAAAGAACCATCTGGTGCTAAGGTCCATCCTGGATACTGAGAGAAATGCACAATTTGTATACACCTCTCACAGTAAGAGATTAAAAAGAACTAGCACACACAATTTTGAATAATACACCAAGTAAATGTAAAAAACACATTTTAAACAGGAAGTAGGCAGAATACTCAAAGAGCTAAATGGCAGGAAATCTGTAACCAAGCAAGCAAAATATGCGCTTTTCAGATATGTATGAATGATTCACTGTAAAGTAAGTACAGTTTTTGATATTTGTAGTCCCTGATACACAGATTCCATCCAAATGGCACAGTTTTTGCAAGAAGAGATTTACAATAAATGTGAAAAGATGTGATTTTTGTCTGATTAGAAAAGATTATTTCTTTTTTATTTTTCTCTGTCAGGTCAGTCAAAACACACATAACAGAAATGGCCTGCAAAGCTTTCAAGCATTTGCTTTTAAAACCGTAAATTTTCAGTCATTTTTTGTTCCATTAAGTCACAGTTGGAAGGCTTGTGTTTAGCTTTGACTGTGCAAAAGGTTGCCACTCAGTCTAATGAAGTCAAAATTGCTATCATGCCCCCCCTCCCAGAATGAGGCAGTAAGAAAGTATTACTGTGGGTATGAGAGCTTGTGACGTCCATGGTAGAATTGGAATAATTGGCAGAATAACAGCCTGACTCTAGCGCCTGTGTCCCACACTGCAGGAATCTATCGCATTTCCTGTGGTGCATCTCATCTGCTGACATGTCCACAGCTCAGACATAAAGCACTGAGGAGGGGGTCAGCTCACTGTGTGAAGATGAGGGGACAAAGGAAGTGGGTGGCTCTTTTGCACATAAAACTAAGGGAATGATTTAATTTTAAAAGCTGCTTCCCAAGGTCTTACATTGTAAAAGAAATAAATAAATATAGATATAGATATAAATAGATATAGACATATATATATAAAAAAACACCCAGCACGCCCCTG